CTCACTCTGTATTGACACGTGTCGTACGTTTGTTTTTTCTTAAGAATGTTATTTGAGTACTTATTACTATTTTTGATCGATTGTAATTTTTATTTGCTTTTTTCGGTAATTAACAGGGCATGATCGACTATGAGATGTTGTATGTTTTTTTTGGTAATTAGAACATGCAATGAATTTGATTTCTGTTCAATTTTTGAATTTGCGTCTAGAAGGTTTAGGGTCAATTTTATTGAGAAAGTGTTGTATTTGCATTAATGGGTTTATTGTTTTTTTTTTTTGAACTTTTAATGGGTTTATTGTTAAAACTTAAATTGGTGGTAACTTGTTGTGGTCAGGAAAAAATCTTCTGGAAGTGGAAACATTTATTTCTGGTTAGTTTTGAAATTGCTTCTAGATGGGTTTGGGGAAATTAAAACAATACAGAGAAGAGGTCAAAGCGTTGAACATAGTTTCCATTAATGGTTTTATTGTTTGCTAACTTCCAATTTCCAGATACTGTATAGGATAGTTTTTTTATGTTGAAGATTCATTTAAAAGTTTAACAGCTTTAGTTTTACAATTTTACTGTAGAAATATGGCTGTAAAATTTTTTTTGTTGTAGCTGTAGAATTATAAAATTTAGAAAGCATAAAATTATGTGTTTTAGAAAAAAATATTTTATATAGCCAAAAAAAGAAGAAGAAATATTCTAGCTGTAAACAAATGAAAGAAAAATAAAATTTATAAAACATGTTTGATATAATTTAAAGCTATAAACATAAATATTGATGTGCATATAGTATTAACAGACTGTATATTTATAGATAGTTTCTTTCTAAATTGTTACAAAAACTAGTGTTTTGTTCACACTAAGCGTGGATTGTATAATTATATTGTAATTTTATAAAAGGTTGTCGATTAATTTTGTGTTTAATATTGTGATAAATTATAGAGTAGTATATTTGCATGTGATTCTTAGATATAGTAGAACGAAGTAAATATCAGAAGGATGTATAAATATATGTGAAAAGATGATCAAATTTTTTTGTATAATAATTTGAAAGTAGATTAATGTATCTTTTGACTTACTTAAACTTTTTTTTAAGAGGTAATGCATGTTTTTGCAAATATGAAGGGCAAATTTTGACCTTTTTGTATAATAATTTGATGTGTAATTTTATTATATTTTTTTTGTTTATGTAAATAGTATCCACATGAACTATATATTATATTCGAAATTTATTGTCTAAATTTGGACATCTTGTGTTATAATGCTATTTCTTTAGTGAACATCATGAGTATTTTTTTATACTTTCAAGTTTTTTTTGCATAAGTTTCCCTTTCGCTTGATGCTTTTAAAAAGAAAAACTCAATCCTTACTCCATTTTTGTTTCATATTGTATCTTAGAATTTTGTTTTAATTTTCATATAGTATGCATTTCTCTACTTATCAATTTTTTTAAGATCCAATCTGTACATAGATGTTTTATAACTAGTTCATATATTCAACGAAGAAAGCAAATGACAATTAATAATAAAATTCTTTATTATATGAGTTTCTATAATTGATATAATATTTGTTTGATAGTTTAGCTAGCTCAATCATTTGCCAATATTGGTGAAGAGTGTGGAATTTATCGTTATATGTTATTTGAATAAAAAATCTTTTCAGTTTTATGTTTCATGAAATTTTGCAAATGAAAATTAAGAAACGGTGAGTAACTATCTTTAATCACCGGTTCCTTAGTTAGGTTTTTACTTCAGTTTTTTCACAATATCGGATTACAACGAACAATATGGAACTTTATATCAGCTTTAGAAACTTGAAATCTGTTTTATGTCAAAAAGTTACAATTGTATAAATTAATTTTCTCTAGAAGAAAGAAAACCGAGTCGCTTCTTAAGTTTTACTTTTGGAGAGAAAGACGTTCTCCAGTTCCAACAATACTATGATTGAGACTCGTTCTACTCGATTGACATTATAAATATAAATGCAAAACAGATGTGAGATTGTATTTTTATGTTGCTTACAACAATCTCAATCATGAGACATATTAGACTTCATTTGTCATAGAGTTGTGTATTATTTATACCATATGTGGCTCATCGCTATATCTTTTTTTTTTGACATCCTCATTGCTATGTCTTTTAGATTTCTAAATGTTTATGCTCCACTTATTTAAGTTTTATTGTTTATTACCAGTTTGATTGTCATTAATTAAAAAGTAAAATTTGTGTTTAGTGACGGCTGATTCTATTTCTGGTGAGTCAGAGGCGAGATGATTGGAAACCGAGAAGACGATGACTCCATAAAATGAGCTTTTGTTCAAGCATTATAATTGAGTTTTAGTGTAATTCGTTTTCAGTTTTTTTTTTAGTTTTTTTTTTTATTTTATTTTATTGAGAATTTAAGATTTTTAAAAGTTTTTTGTAGGTAAAATTTGAGGAAATTTTGATTAATAAATTATTTAATGAAATGATTTTAAATTATTGATTGAAGAAGATGACATAGCAGTTTTGGAATCTATCATTGGTTAATTATTTTTGCTGATGTGGCAGCCCTTAGAAGCCTAGAAATCTATCTTTTTTATATAAAAGAGATGAGATGAGTGACATATTGTCTTATTCTTATTGTTTAGTTTTTTATAATTTAATAATGTGGTAATTTGTTATATTCTTATTGGCTGATTATTTTTGTGATTATTTTTGTCTATGTGGCACTTTTTAAAGAGCAAGAAATCTATCCTTTTTATATAAATGAGATTTGGTATCGATAGAGTTTTTGTAATTAGTTCCTTCTTTTTTTCATGAAATTTCATTTTTTTTAATATATAAGAAAGTTGGCGATATATATATATATATATATATATATATATATATATATTCCAAAGTTTACAGTACGTACTTCTGATTTTGTATGTATATCCATTGCGTTAAAACCAATTTTATAATTACAATTAATTCATATTTTTATACAAAGATACAAAATTATAAACAAACATCACATCCCATCTACCATTACCAACAACAGCAAAAGAGAAAGACCGTCACATTAATCGTAACCGTAACATTATTGTTTACTAACTGAGTAAGTTCGAATAAATATTTTGGAATATAATTGGATTGATGATTAAAAAAGGGGATGATGTTTTTAAAATGAATCAACACAACAATAGCACTAAAGTCTCTCCATGGCTTGACACCTAAGCTTTTTGAAGCTTTATAAACATGACACCTCAGCAAAAATAATCACCAATCAAAACATTTTATTAATACATCTCATCTACTTATTTTAATTTTTAAACTTAAACCTATTACAAACCCAAATATTTTTTTCTATTAATTTTTTGTTTTATTTTTTACCAAACTCAAGCCCAAATAATTAATAACAGTAAATAAAAAAATCATCATTTTATTTTTTGCCAAATCCAAATCAAAATAAAAAATAAAAATAAATAAAAAATTAAATCATTGTTTTCTTTTTTTTGCCAAAGCCAAATCTAAATAATAAATAACAACAAATAAATAATAAAATTTCTAGCTATCTGTTTATTTGACATAGACATATATGATTGAAAAAGTGTAAGCTCAATATCAACTATGCTTCCATGACAACAACGCAAAAAACCTTATCTTATAAGATGCTCACACATCAGCAAAAATTTGAACCGATAAAACATAATAATTTCTTAGTTTTCACGTGAAAACATAATTTCACGGGAGATAATGTAATTTTTGGTTTTCGTGAAAAATTGTAATCTATTTATTTTTGTAGGAAAGCATGATTCTGGGCTTGACGAGAAATGATTTTTTTTTTGGCAAGAATAGACGATTTCTCAGTTTTCGCAGGAAAAATAATTTTTTCGATTTTGGAGGGAAAATACAATTTTTTTGGTTTTTGGAAGAAGATAAAATTTTTTGTTTTTGTGAAAAACGTAATTTTTCGGCTTTGGTGGAAAAACACAGGTTCTCGCGGGAAAATAAAATTTTAGGTTTTAGGTTTGACGAGAAAATGAATTTTTTGGTTTTAGCGGGAATAGGCGATTTCTTAGTTTAATAGAAAAATGAAGTTTTTTTTGTTTTGACGAAAAATGCAATTTCTCGATTTTTGTAAGAAGATAAATTTTTTTGCTAAATTTCCAAGTTAAAATATGTTTACAGTAACCAAAATTTAATTATTTAACTTTAACTAAAACGATATTTTAAGAGTTCAAACATAATTTTCTATTTAGTTCTAAAGCAATAGCAATGGTTTTGATATGCATGTTATTGATTATAGTTTGGTAGTTTTAGAAACTTATGTTTATAATAAAATATTTGATAAATAAATAAATTTTATAATTCAAAATAATCATATTAATTAATAAATCTTTTTTAAATGACATTTTGCTTTATATAATTACAAAAGAGGATCAAGTGGTAATTTATTGGAGAAAATATATTACATTTGCTATTAGCATGAAGATACTAAAAATGTATTGCTTTATTCGTATATATTTTATTCCTATATATACATTTATAATTTGTTAGCTAACTAAATTTAATAAAAAATTATAATTTTGAAAAAATATATATTTATATATGTAATGTTTATTCTGATTTAAAACATATAAATATATAACTTAACCTATAAAAAAATAAATATAATACTTATTTAAATTATAAAAATAATTTTATTATATTAAAAATATATACAAAATTTAGAAAAATATCGTGCAGCATAGCGCGGGTAAATACCTAATATATCTAATATACAATTGACATTTGAAGTTTTGAACCGACTCAAATACTTATGTTGGCTAACAACGAGATTATATTCCAAAATATTATTGGCTATTTAAAACATTTTTGAATATTTCGTTTGGTACAAGAGCCTTACCAACTTTGGTTAACGTCTCTCGTGATTTCGTTGAGGTGTGTTCTTATTTTCTTATATACTCTACACAAATCCTTCTCGCGATTGTTTCTAATTCGGCATCTCTCTCTCTCTCTGTTTTTTGAAGCGTCCCTTAAGCAGCTTGATGATAATGAAGCCAAGAAAACATAAGCTTACGATTTTGAAAGATATTAGTGGGATTATCAAACCAGGAAGGTGAATAAAATACTTTTTTAGATTATAATAACACATCCCAACACTTTTATTTTGGCATTTAGGTGACTTCAAAGAAGGATCAAGCTCAGTACTGGGCAGACCCTTCGAAGCCATATCAGTTCATCCCGGTCTCGGACATAGCGGCTGCGTTTCGTAGCTCGAAATACGGTCACGCAGCAGATTCCAAGCTTGCAAAGCCATTTGATAGGTCATCCGCGGATCCTTCGGCTTTATGCAGAACGAAATTCGCCATATCAGGATGGGAGAACCTTAAAGTTTGCTTTGAACGTGAGATACTATTGATCAACCGTCACAGATTTCTTTACACTTTTAGGACATGTCAGGTATTATTTGGCATAATAGCTTTAGATCTTCATTTGAGCTTCATAGTGTTTGGCATAACATTTGTTTGTTTTTCCATCAAGGTTGCATTTGTGGGATTTGTCACAGCCACTGTGTTCTTGAGAACAAGGTTACACCCAACAAACGAAGCATATGCCAACGAGTACTTAGCTTGCCTGTTCTTCGGCTTAGTGCACATGATGTTCAATGGTTTCTCTGAGCTGCCTCTCATGATCTCGCGTCTTCCCGTCTTCTACAAGCAAAGGGATAACTCGTTCCATCCTGCTTGGTCCTGGTCTGTCGCCAGCTGGATCTTGCGTGTGCCTTACTCTATCCTTGAAGCTGTTGTCTGGACTTGTGTGGTTTACTACAGTGTGGGACTTGCTCCCTCACCAGGCAGGTTGGTAATTTCTTGAGAATGTTAAACATTACTTTAGACTTCTTGAAATGCTATAATGATCTCTTTTTTTTTTTTGTATCCTTAGATTTTTCCGATACATGTTAATCCTCTTCTCGGTGCATCAAATGGCTCTCGGTTTGTTTCGTATGATGGCTTCTATAGCTAGGGATATGGTCATCGCCAATACATTCGGATCTGCGGCAATCTTAGTAGTGTTCTTGCTTGGTGGATTCGTTATTCCAAAAGGTTAATTAATTTGCGTCAAATAAATATGTTTTTTTGTTGATTCAAGTTGTTAATACTAAAAACGTTATCATTTTTTGACAGATGATATTAAACCATGGTGGATTTGGGGTTTCTGGATTTCGCCGTTATCCTATGGGCAACGTGCCATTGCAGTTAATGAATTCACAGCCACGAGGTGGATGGAGGTATGTTTAATAATCTCTTAACAAAGTTGATAATACTTTTTTTTAGAATATACAATATGCTCAACTACAGACTTTTAAACATCATGCAGCCATCAGCTATATCGAATACTACAATTGGATTAAACCTTCTCAAGCTACGGAGTTTTCCCGAACGACAATTGGTATTGGGTTGGAGTCGCTGTCCTTCTTGCTTATGCAATTCTCTTCAACAACATAGTCACTCTCGCCTTGGCTTATCTCAACCGTAAGAGTCTCTATTGCTCTAATGATCATTTCTTATAGATAATATTTAGCAATATTATGAAGCTTAGTTCTTCTTCATTTTTTTCCTCTTGCAGCTCTAAGAAAAGCTCGAGCAGTTGTATTAGACGATCCCAATGAAGAAACCAAAACTGCTTTTGTATCAGATGTAAAACAAGCAAAAATTGAGAAAAAAGGAATGATTCTTCCATTCAAACCATTAACAATGACTTTCCACAATGTTAACTATTATGTTGATATGCCAAAGGTTAACTCCACTTCTCTATTCTACTTCCCTCGTATCATTTCTTATCTATGGTTATATAAAGATGTTTTTTTAAAATCCGAAATCTCTCAGGAAATGCGTTCTCATGGTGTGCCAGAGACAAGACTACAACTGTTATCAAGCGTAAGTGGAGTCTTCTCTCCTGGTGTTCTTACAGCTTTAGTTGGATCGAGCGGTGCGGGAAAAACTACATTGATGGATGTTCTTGCGGGTCGAAAGACTGGTGGGTATACCGAGGGAGATATCAGAATCTCCGGTTACCCAAAAGAACAACAAACATTTGCTAGAATCTCTGGATATGTTGAGCAGAACGATATACATTCTCCTCAAGTAACTGTTGAAGAGTCCCTATGGTTTTCTGCTAGCCTTCGTCTTCCTAAAGATATCAGCAAAGAACAGAAAAAGGTAACTACGTACATGAATGAGTTTTACAACATTTCTTTCCGATTTCGATATATAGTTTCACTAAGAATATATTCGTTGTGTGTTTTGTTTAGGAATTTGTGGAAGAAGTTATGAGACTTGTAGAGCTTGACAGTCTGAGATATGCGTTGGTGGGTTTACCCGGTACAACCGGACTTTCCACAGAGCAGAGGAAGCGGTTAACAATCGCGGTTGAGTTAGTGGCGAACCCATCAATAATTTTCATGGATGAACCAACCTCTGGACTTGATGCAAGAGCAGCTGCAATCGTTCCTGCAATTTACTAAATTCTTTTTGAGGGATTCAAAAAGCTTGTAAGGCATGTAGAATCTAGTTGTTCTTGTGAGGATTAGTCCTCGAAGAACTAGAGTCTAAACTCTTGGTGTTTGGAGTTCAAGCACATTGGTTTATCAACCATCAAACCAGTTTTCCATCAGCTTCAGCTTGAAGGTCCGATTTCAAAGGAGCATTACTTGAAGTGATTTCGAGTCTTGTGTAAGATCTAATGATCATTTCTTATATATATATATTTAGCAATATTGTGAAGCTTAGTTCTTCTTTTTTTTTTTTCCTCTTGCAGCTCTAAGAAAAGCTTGAGCAGTTGTTTTAGACGATCCCAATGAAGAATCCAAGACTGCTTTTGTATCAGATGTAAAACAAGCAAAAATCGAGAAAAAGGAAAGATTCTTCCATTCAAACCATTAACAATGACTTTCCACAATGTTAGCTATTATGTTGATATGCCAAAGGTTAACTCCACTTCTCTCCTGTACTTCCCTTGTATCATTTCTTATCTATGGTTATAAAAAGATGTCTTTTTATTTTTGCCGAAATTTCTCAGGAAATGCGTTCTCATGGTGTACCAGAACCAAGACTACAGCTGTTATCAAGCGTGAGTGGAGTCTTCTCTCCTGGTGTTCTTACAGATTTAGTTGGATCGAGCGGTGCAGGCAAAACTATATTGATGGATGTTCTTGCGGGTCGAAAGACTGGTGGATATACCAAGGGAGATATCTGAATCTCCGGTTACCCAAAAGAACAGCAAACATTTGCTAGAATCTCTGGATATGTTGAGCAGAACGATATACATTCTCCTCAAGTCTCCTCAAGCCTTCGTCTTCCTAAAGATATCAGCAAAGAACAGAAAAAAGTAATTTTTATATTTTGACCTGATTTTGACAAAATTTTTATAAATTTTTGACGAATATTTTGGGCAAAAAACTATTTGGTCAAAAATGGTCAAAAGATTTTGAATATAATTATTTCCCAAATCTTAAAAAACCATAAAATAATATATAATTATATATAGCTAAAACCAAAAAGCAACACTTTAAATATTAAACCCTATATTGTAAATTAAAAGAGTGCATATAATTAAATCTTATCATTTTTATAAATCTCAAACCTCAATTCTAAAATCCTAAAAATTAAATCCTAAACCCTATATTGTGAATTGTAAATCTTAGGGTGTATTGGATTAATGATTTGGGATGATTTTGTTTTTTTTTTTTTATTTAAATCCCTTCTTATTGGATTTAGCATTTAAAAAAATTACTTAAAATTCAAGGTTATTGGATTAGTCATTTATACACATTCATTAAAAAAAAATTTTATTGGAAAATTGGAATTTCATTAATGAATTATTTTTAAAAATGATTTGGGATGATTTGAGAGGTAATTTAGAGTTAAAAATCTATAGATTGAAATACCATCTCATATGATAGTATTTGAGAGAATTTAGAAGACATGATTTGTTTAAATTATTTTAATACTTTAAATTCATTAAAATCTTTATAGATTTGGACTTATCCAAATTACTAATCTAATATGCCCTCCTAACTTAACACACAAACACAAATTAAGTCAAAATATTAAAATTAAAATATAACTATTTTGTAAATGAAGTTGATTGTAAGTGAAAATTGTCATCAAATAACTTTACAAATATATATTGTTGACATTGTTTAAGATATATAATTTATTTACATTAGTTTACTAAACATTACTCTAAAATACTAAATTGCAAAATTAATCTACTAAAAACAAATAATAAAAGTGACAGCGTTTTCTTTCTTCTTATTGGTTAATATATAGAGACAAGATCAAGCTTTGCACTACTGTTGATTATAAAGTTAAACCTCTCATTCTTTTTCTTCTTGTTTAACAATTCGTGCTTCTCTTTCTCGGTGTTCTCGCCTCCACCGCTCGCTCAAACAGACCTATGTAAGTCTTCTCTTCTCCTTCTCCCTCCGCATGTTCTTCAGATTAACTCTTTTCTTTTCCAGATTTTATTGTCACCAACTCTCCGCCGTCAAGATTCCCCAATCGAGAAGTACATACACCATTTGACTGGTTCATCTATTTTTAAAGTCACTCACCGCCAGTCACCGCCGGTGTCTTTTATCACATCTCCGCGGGCCAATTTTTATTTATTTATGCATTGTTTTTCTTTTTCACAAAAATATATAGTATATATATAACAAAATATTATAATAAATAAATATTTTTTTTTGTTGATTTTTTTGTAAAAGCCACAAATTTGCCACAAAGCATTTATAGTTATTAGTGACGATTAACTTGTAGGTTTTATGTAAGATTGTCACACTTTATTTATAGCAAAATTGTAACTAATTTGTTACAAATTATATTGTATCTAATTTGATTCAAATATATGCAAAATTGATCTGTGAGTAATTGTAGCAATTTTGCTACCCATTGTTACAAAAAGCAAATAGCTACGCGGCCAAACTTGAGAAATATTTTTGTAACAAATTGTTGCAAATTTTTATTTTGCTACAAATTTATGTTTATACCTACAAAATAAAATGTAACTATGTTAGATGATTCTTGTAGTGCAATTCCTTATCCCCTCGATTCCTGCTACGGTGGGCTCCAAGATATATATGTTTGATGGGATTGACGGTGCCTTTAGCATGGACTGCAGATCTGTAGCTGTTACGGTTTGATGCAAGAACTCTCATTCATATAGCTGTTACCAATTCATGGAACATCGGGTGTATTTGTGAATTCTAAGAAATGTTAGAGAATGTCGAATTTGAGGTAACTTCAATGGAATTGTGATAAAGCTACTTGTAAATGGCTTACTTGGAAGAAAAGATAAGTCGTCATTGCTTCCACCAGATCTTATGCCATATGTTTCTTAATTCTGGATTCTTGGGTCATAAACAAAACAAAATTTTGAAAACTTTGCATGCATCTAAGGAAGATAGTCAAGATGTAAGACCCAAAGCAGCTCAAAAGAAGAAGATATTAGACATGCTCACATAAGTTCTACTCTCAAGTCAGGAGGAACAAAAACCAGAGGTTAAAAGTCTCAGGAAGAGAAAAGTAAATTGAGATCGCCATGCAACAGAGCAACTATCTTCAACATTTGACATCGATAAAATCGTCTCTGTCTATTACCTGTTTGTTTTTTAAAATCATGTTTTTCCCTTGCTACTGTCTGATTTTAGGAAGTAGACTAAAGTCAATTTTTTTGAAGAGGCTAAATGTCTAAAGAGTAAAGTCTTGAAACCGTCAAGGTTGGTGTTAAGTCTTAAAACCATCAATATTTTCCCTCGTTACATTTTTCTTAAAATGTCTTAACACCATCAATATTTCTTATATTTAACTAGGGATGTTACCGCGCTACGCGCAGATTATTTCATAAATATTGGATTATTAATTTTTATTTTAGTGAAATTATTTTAATTATAAATTTAATATCATTTTGATGTGATCATACGCTTAAAATTTTTTAACGTTATTAGAAAATGTATTATGATTTAATTTAAGAATTTACTAACTTGATATATGTGAAAATTAATTGTTAATCTAAAACTTAATATTTATATATAACTCATTACTGCTCACCAACTTTCAAACTATTATTAAAATTATTTTTGTTTTAACTAAATTTTTTATATAATTGAACTCAACAACTATAAGTTTTCTCTTTATCTAATTTAAAACAAGTTTTTCATTTTAAAAAAAAAAATTATTTGTCAAACATATGACTACAACTGTAACACCTATATTTTGTTCCAGTTAATTTAGATTTATTTTCATTTTAATTGTGTTCGTGTAATAGATTTTTTTTTATGAGCAGTCTTAATACCTAACAACAATCAATGTTCAAAACTCTTACAAATCCATAAAAAACTACTGTTCATATAAATAAAAATAAGATTTACATATTATATAAAATCACATTCATATTGATAAACTGCATTTTTGATTTGGTCTCTGAAGCATCTGTAAAGTATAAAAGTGTAGATGAATAAAGCCAGTAATATATATGCAAATGCAACTTCATACTAACTCGTTCTATTAAACAAAGTATGTCAAGTTTCTCAATGCTAAAAATGTGTAAAAGGTTCATTTGCATTTGCTTATAATTTAACTTAGATATTTTTCTTACTCTACATATATATTTTGGTGAACTTTTATAATTAAAAAATAATATATATTATATTATTTTTAAAAGAGTTTCTTAACCAAAAACAAGACCATATTAATTTTCTTTACATATTGAGTTTGTGAAGAATTTTTTTTTTGTTGATATAGATGGTTAGAGAAGTTTTTATGACATTTTCTTTTATATAAAAATATATATACTATTTTTAAATATGGAAGTATAATATATCAATGTTTAATATAAAGTTATGCAAGTCTATTTTTATATATGCATGACGATAACGATGATTCATACTATACTGTAATTAATTTAACTTATGTCTAAAAGTATTTAGCCAAAAATAAAGGAATACTATGTACATAATCATATATATTTGATGTTTTTAATTATTGTGTAGACGAACTTAATACCTCATAATATTATATCTTATCGATTTTTAGTTTAAACATGTGATTATTATTAATCTGGGTTGTAATAATTTTAAATATTATATATATAATATTTTTTTTGGGTTAAAATCAAGTTATATATCATATTTATTGTTACTATAGTACATATAATTTAATCAATATTCAAATGTTACTATTATTGTTGATTAAATATTATTTAATTTTAAGCATGTTATTAATATATTAAAAATTATTTTTATTAGAGAATTGCTGATGTGGCATGATTATAGAGATTTGTTTTTGCTGATGTGGATGACTTTATGAACCTCAAACTTCTCATTTCATTTAGTACTATGGATGTTTCCGCGCTACGCGCGGACTGTTTTTATATAGATATTTGATTATTATTTAAGTTTTATTATTTTCACTTTAAGTTAATATTTTAAATATAATATTTAATTTTTAAAATTGTTTTGATATGATTATACATCGAAAATATTTTAACATATTCAAAAAATGTATAATTTTAAGAATTAGCTACTTGATATGCTAAAATTAACTGTTAATCTAAAACTTAATATTTGTATATAAACTCACTGTTATTCACTACTAACTTTCAAAATATTATTAAAATTATTTTTGTTTTGACTAAATTTGATTATTATTGTTCTAATTAATTTAGATTTTTATTTTTATTTCAACTATGTTCGTGTAGTGTTTTTATTTAATTAGCAATCTCAAATACAAACAACACTCAATGTTCTAATCTCTTATAAATCTATAAAATAACTATGATTCATATAAATAAAAACAATATTTACATAGTATAAAAAATCACAATCATATTGATAAAATGCAATTCTGATTTGGTCTATGAAGTATACGTAAACTATAAAAAAAATATAGATGAATAAGGCAAATAATACATATACAAATACAATTTCATACTAACTCATTATGTTAAATAAAGTATGTTGAGTTTCTCAAAACTCAAAAGATGTAAAACATTTTGCTTGTAATTTAACTTAAACATTTTTTTTTAAACTACACGTATATATTTTGATGAGCCTTTATAATTAAACTAATAATATATATTATATTATTTTTAAAGGAGTTTCTTAACCCAGTAAAAAAACCATATTAGTTTTCATTCAAGTTGGGTTTATAAGGAATTTTTTTGATGTGGATAATTAAAGATTTTTTTAGAAATTT